TTGTGTTTTTATTATAACTTATTGTTTGATTATATGAACATGTTATATGTGTCCAAGCGTTTAATCGTTCACATGCATTCAACTCACTCCAAAGATATAGTGCGCGTAAAAAAGCGATCAAGAATCCATTTCCAAATAATCGCTTTAGAAAAAGAAAAGTCTTTCAATTGAAATCAGTTACTCGTAAATATTGTTGAAATAAATGTCGCCGATGAGCACGCCAGGCTCAAATGTTTAATGACACCTAGGGAAACTTAAGTTTTGTCTTCCCTTACGTATAAATTATGTATTATATTTTTTTTTTTTACATAAGCAATACTAAAATAGAACTGCAACAATATAATAAACTAGATTTATTTATATATATATACTATACGCATTGTTTCTTAAACTTATGGATACTGGATGGGCCAGTAAATAAAAACGCGATCGCTTACAATATCGTTACGTACGCTGTAATAAATATTTCATTATTTATTTGTATCGTTATAAAGCAACGTGTGGGCATCGAAAACGCGAAATGAAAAAAAAGTTGAAATCCGGATGGGGGTAAATGCGTGTGCTTCACCTCGTGCACACACTAACGCGCACAATGAGTGGTGGTATAGTATATAGGTGTGTTCTTGTATATAGGGTTTGTTTATAAAAGCCATTTACTTCGGTCGTCAAACGTGATAAATTCGTCGTAATAAACATCATGTCCTTTCTCTTACGGGCCGCGTTGACGAATGACGGTGGTCGGGGATTGGGAGAGGTCCATTTTCTCGGACTCCGGAAACACCTTGCGATGGAGGGTAGCGGGTACAAGGAGAGGATAATAAAGAGAAATCGACGGCGGTAGCGGTCACAAGTTCAGATTAGGACGTGACAGACGTCGTCGTTGTCACCAACTCGCAGCCTTTTCCTCCTTCTCGTCCTTCTCTTTCCTACTGTATCACCCTCTCTTCGTTATAGTTTCCTTTGTCCATCCCTCCTCGTCGCGGTCAGTCATCGCTGAACACAGGAGGAGCCCGCGCGATTTTTGTTTCGCATGAGCGTATATTATTTATATATATAAGAGTCCAAAGCCCTTCGCGTCATCAATCAAACTGTCATTATTGACTCTACGGGCCGAGTGTGTTGTTGGCTTTCTTCGTTCCAGCCGCGTCGAAATCCCTTCCAGCGACCGGATTGAATTTCGATTACGTCGTCGTTCCGCATACGGTTTACTTTTACACCCACAATATATATACATATAAATATATATTGCACGCGTATTAATAAAAGTCATCGTTTTCTGCGACGCTTCAACTGCGTCGTTAAAAAAAATACATGTCGCAGTGCGATGATGATGACGAAAAAAACCATCGCTGCTGAATATTTTGTGAACACCGTGTTCGACAGTTCTTCAGGTACTACTCCAATACTATCACCGATTTCTGTTAATTTAATGTACACGTTTCGTTTAAATATGATCTATTTAAGTACGATGAAGACCGGGGGGCTTCGATTAAATTAATTTGCATTTATAATATTATTAATTCGCAACGAACTACTACGAATCAAGTATCTTTGCACACTCGGACATACGATGAAGTGGTTGAAAATGTTCAACCATCGATTATACAGTGCAATTAACAACTAAGTTTGGTTGCAAATAAATTCGGCCAACGAGATTGCTGTATTCGGCGCGGACCACACGGTGATGGTGGTATAGTATATTGTTTCCCCAACTGTTATCCAAATCGATACTATTATACGAGTATAATAATCGTATATATACACAATTAATAGTATATAAAATACCATCATCAATATGGTCCTAATCACGTTTTTTATTGTTGTACAATGTTTCTGAGCGCCTTCAAGAGGTCTTCGTTCGCCCTTTGCACCCGATAAATTAATCCGTAGCTCGCATATAATAATACCCACGTGGTATGATAACGGTCGATGAACAATTTAACATACAATGAGACAGTCCACCATCATGCAGTCAATCATGCATCAAGTGCAGTTATCGTCTTATCGTCGTTATACGTATATTGAATTTTGTTTCCACACTTTTTAAGTTCTGTGGACTCACGTAAGAAAAATAACAGTTTTTGGTGGGGTTTTTCGATTTTAAAAAATGTATAGCTTAAAGTTTTTTAATTCTGATTTAGTTCAACACATTTTAAAAAAAAAAAAACTTTCGTAATAAATATAAAATTACTGTTCTATCATTCTTTGAAAAAAGAATTTCAAGAACAATAAATTTTATTTAGCTAAGATTTTAATCTTAAGTGACTTTAAAGCTGACCTACGAAAGTTGGTACGTTTACACCGTGAACATTTTGAAAAATTATTTGACAATATTGATTGAACCTACCTTTTAGATTTATATATTAGAGATGTTAGGGGTACCCGGTTATTACTGGATAACTGAGTACTCGTTGTCATGATTGACACTCAGCCCTTAAACGGTATCCGGCATAACATTGCATTTTTACTTGGCTTTACCTGGTACTTGGTATATTGAAATTTTTATTTGAATAATACTTAATAATCGATATATAATCAAATTTTTACCGAACAAATTTCTGTTATATATAATAAAGGATTTTACTAAGTTTAGTTTTTTTGAATAGCATTTTGATCGTCACATAATATACTAAATTAAAACTAAAATATCATCTATAAGTATTTTCATGTATGTAGTGCTCTTTTTTATAAAAAATTGAAATTTTTAATTCTATTTCTACGTAAAAATAATGATTATTTGTATTTCAAATGTCGAATATTCTATTTACATTCTTTCATATCCGTTTAGATTTTCTGTTTACACTTTTTAGGTACTGAAGACAAAAAACAAAAAGCAATCGAAATTGAATTGCATTTTTTCATTTTCGAATGTTTTTCATACTTAATTTTTATTTTCATTTTTTGTTCATTTGACATTGATTTATTTTTGCGAACTGTGATATTTATGTATATCATAAAATATTGATTCGGCGATTACGAAATTAATGTTTGATGTAGTTTTAATAAATGCCATTTTCGATTCGTTAGTATTCCAATGTTGACTCTGTAGATTGTTTTTTTTTTTTTTTAACATAAATTTGAATTTCAATAATACTATCACCAGCGATGTCGCGTTCATATAAATTACTGCATAGTACAGCGGTTTATGTAGGTGCACATATTGTACAGAGCGAACGTCGTTCTGTCAGCAAAGTTGTCCGAAAGCGAACGTAGTTCGTCTGTTGTTTTCGATGTAGGAAAATAAAGGGGAGAGGAAAAAAACTAAATAAAATTACTCCGTATCCGAAGAATGCATGTGCCTCTATACATTCGGAGGCAGAAGGATCGTCGACGCCGCGACTCCACGGCGTTTGCGGAAATTAATTGAATTGCTACCATTGTGCCGCCGACACCCCCATTTAGGTTTTTAATCACTCGCGATGTGTATATACACCGCACCGAACGATACCGGGTATTCGTCTGGCCGCGACGTCGAGTGGGCTCGTCGGAGGTGCGCGTGTACACATCATAATACTGCTTGTACCACCTACCTTATACACAATTTAGTCGCTGCTTTTGTGCTCCGTACTATTGCTCCGCGCTCGTTCCTGTAGACGTCTTGCGACACATCTATAAATAAATATAATACGTATAGGGTGTGTCTTATATCCCACCATTGCATGCAGTGTTTTTTTTTTTTTATATTTCCATTGATTGCGTAACCGTAAAACGTAATTTCGAGGAGACGATAAAATACATTTGTGTGTGTGTGTGTGTGTGTGTGTTTCAATTTTTCAAAGGACCACCGTTTTTCTTGAAAAACTTTGATTTTTCAGTTGTATACAAACCAAAGCGAAATCACCTTTTGTTTTTAAACCTAACAATCGTTATTATTTTTAATGAATTTCAGTGGTGTTTATTTTTACGGTCAAATCATAAGTATTGCCAGTCACGACTCTTGTTTATTTAGTAAATTCAAATTGGTTATTTTATTTTATCGTATTTACTGGAATAAATCTACTTAACTGGATCTAATTTTTGCTCTATCAATTTAAATAATTTCATATTATTCACACTTTTTCATCATTTTTATTGAGGTAACTTAAAGTCAGTGGCGCTTAGATCAAATGAAATTGGGCGTATTGAAACAAAAAAATGATTGAAAAATTCCGTAGGACATAGGAAACGCAAATAAAAATAGTAAAATACTAAATATTTTTAATAGTGATATGAAAACCGATTATTCGTTTGACTAGAAATGATCATCGAGCATTTACTTTGACTATACAGTTTTACAACAAATTAAAAATATTGTACGCTTGCTGTATAATGATGATTGGAATAATATTTCGAGTGCTAAATTCTGATTTAAGTGTATTAGAAAGTAAACATTTTTCGGATTGGGTTTTAAAGATACAAAAAAAAAATTAACTCTGTCAAGGCACATATTTTATTCCAATTAATCCAACCAAATAACAGTTAATTAATTTATTCTTAACCTTGGACGACCTCAGAAGTAGATTTGGACGAATATAATCGCAAAAATATGCATTATCCATTAAACACAACCGTCAGTTGGTGTTCATAAAAATAATATCGATTTTTCCATTTGGTTTACACCTGTAATATGATACTAAAATTATCATTAAAACAAAACATATGTATCGAAACATATTTCAAGTATTAAAGTAATTCGTGTTTTTACATTTTGATCGCAATTCCATTTATCGTTTTATCGTTTCGTACGATCAATACGGAATACAACATATAGCACACACCGGTGATCAGACTGTTCGTTCTGCCAACACTGTATTTATGTCGTGCGCGCGTGAACTGCTTCGGTGACATGTGACGAGAACTCGACACACGCGCCTAAATCGTTTGCAAGATAATTGCTGTAGCCGCGTGTCATTTTCCTCCGTTTTAATGGCTTATTCGCAACTACAGTGGAACCATCATTATTATATACACACTTTGAATTAACGGTTTTTCATTTGATAAAACGACTTTTTTTTTTTCAGGCCGAATCAACAACAATATGACGAGTTCGAATTCAATTTAAACAAATCACATTTAGAAAAGTCTTCCATTCCGTAAATATCATATGAATACGATTTACAGTCGACTGTGATAAATTTTAATAATGTTAACAACTGTGTTGTACTTTTTTTTTTGTTTAGCTACACCGAAGATTGTTCGGGAGGTGGCGAATTTGGTCTACAAAGTCCGGCCGAGTCGTTGGCATCACCCGTTCGACCACCCCTCAGACATATCGACAAATACATCAAACCGGAAATACCAAATCTGAGCAAGAGATATACCATAGCCATACTAACATGCATCGGTAATTAACTATATTGCGTTGCATGATGATTAACAATACTATTAAAAGTTGGTATTTGTGATTGACGGAAAATTACGGAATTGGTGTTCGGGTCGAAAAAATAAAAATAAAAATAAAATAAAATGCATTAGTCGTTTCACTTATGATCTAAAAAAACTACTCAATGTGGTTTCTAGTAGTTCGACGTGTGCAATACAAATTGGTTCCGACCAAAAATTTATGTTCAGAATATTAGCTACCAACAGTAATTTTCTTCTTGTTTTAAACAGAATTGATGAATATCAAGAATATCTAGGTATAGTAAAAATATGTAAAATTTTTATAGCGAAAAAATGGTTAGAATCTTAGGTCGGATCGGACATCATGGACAGCTGAGATACAGAGATGGGTAAATAGTATTAGTATTTTAAATTTAAAACAAGTATACCATTGCTCTCTAAAACACTATTCTGAGTGAAAAAATTCAAGTGGATCAGTTATATTTCTAAATATTGTCGATAAAATAGAAAACCAGAATTCTCAAATTTTCGTAAAGAAAATGACTTCTAAAATTTGGAAAAATCAAAAATTTCAAGTGCTTATAAATAGCCCAAACTTTATTTAAATATTTCAAAAAATGAAATATTAACTGAATAACTTTTTATTGAACTTATTTTCATGGAAATTTATTGTAATATTCGATTTCATCAAAATTAAATTTGTAATGACTATGAATTTTTTTTTTTTTTTTGTGACTTTTCAAAATATCTTTTAAAATTAGTTAGAAATAAACTTAAATGAGAAATATTATATCAAATGTTCAAGTTTAAGTATAAAAGTTTAAAATATTATATTTATTAATATATAATATTATTATATTTATAATATTATTAATATTTTAAGAAATGTATAAGATTTTCGTGATTTTAATTGATTTATCAACATTTAATAACTAAACGCTTGTAATTTTTTTTTTTTTATCAGCATTTGTATACATGAAAAAACTTTATATTACATTTTGAAGGTATTTTATCCAATTAGAATTTTTAATCAACATTTTTAAAAACACATTGAAATTATGAATATTAACATTTTCTGTAAAAATAGCACTAAGAAATGTTTTTGAAAATTATAGCAAACGGTTATATCAGTAAAAATTTCATGACTACGATTATTACTTTTTTGAGCATGAAAACAAAATTTTGATTTTGTCGAAAACTGATGTGCTTGTAGTCTTCCAGTTGACAATAGTTATTATATTTCGGCAACTGGAAATAAAGTTATAATTATTGGTTGACATTTTTTTTAACCCTTCCAGGTTTCATGATTTCATTTGGGATGCGGTGCAACATGTCCATGGCGAAACTGAAATTCCACATAGGATCCGACGTAAGTTAATAAACGTTCTTCAGCCGCCAACGCGGTTACGACGCACAATATAACAATTATATAACCTAAAGTTATACGATGTCGTCGAAAAGCCGCGTAATACTGTATAATATGTATATCAATGGTTTAAATTTTTTTTTTTAACCTATTACACTGAACTCTATTCGTAACATTTACATGGCACATGTCTTGATCATCAACGCATGAGGATTGTTTTTCTCCGACAATTGCTAAATGTTTTTAAAAATATTGCGGCACGTCTGTAGAACGCTTGTGGCGCATCAGTTTGAAAACTACTGCACTGTACCTTATACTATCGTGGAAAATTTCTTACTAAGACGTGCATACGATAGCGATTTGATGCATTTCACAAAACGCTTGTGGCGCATCTATTGTTCGGTGCGCGCGATACGGTTTTCGATTAAGTATAATATAGCCGATTCCACGCGGACGCCAACCGGAATGAGCAAAACAATTCCTTAACCCTTTCGGCGAGAGAACGACTTAAATAGCGTACCAATGTATATATATATATATATATATATAAACGTGCGCGGACTCTCTTTATAATGTGTTTAGAGTTTTTGATGACGTGATTACCGCCGTAACTTGCTCGTAGTCGGATCGAGTTCGATTATCATCGCTGCCGCCGACGCCACCGCCTCATCTCGGCCCACTGTGCGGACGATGCGCGACAATGCTTTTCGGGTGGTTTTCACGGATGTTCCCCAGCACGGGGAGTTTAATGTACCGTGAATCCGGTTGAAACGCGCAACGGCGAGCACCCCTAAAATCCCGCGGCGAACGCGGGCCAGTTTTTGCGGGTGGGCGAATGCGTGCGCGTGCACGCGCGCATCCCTGACTTTACAACGGTAAAAGCAATTGCATTTCGTCCGTCTGTCCGCCAACATTATATATATTATTTCTATACCCACCGAAAACACCTCTCCGCCCCGGCCCGACGACGACGGTGCAGCAAACGCCCTCGCCGTGAAACGTCGACTGTTTTAAGGTCGCCAGGCGGCGGGGAGTGAGCGGTGGCGCGCGAAATGGAATTCGCAAAACGGTTATATATCATATGGATGTATAAAATACATACATATTAAAACATACCGGGGTCAAAAGGTCAGAGCGTATGTATTGCGTTGCGTGTCATAATAATAATCGTCGTACATCGGTCCGCTCGCGTCGGAATGTATACGTCACCTCTACATAGAATATCGTACATTGTCGTGTTCCGCGACGGCGGTGGACGTGGCACATGCAGTCAAAACGTTCGTTTACCGGCCGTTGCTTTCAGTTAGGCACATGACGTCGTAAGATTTCTCCGACGGTTTTTTCGAGACGATCGCGAGGCGTTCGAATAACGGCCCGAGAAAAACCTTCGGAAACCTTGTTTGGCGATAGTGTATTGGACGGCGGCAGCGCGTGCGATAACGTGGAAGCTCATCGGAAAACGGGGTGCGGACAGATGGTTGCGGTACAGAGTACGAGGATTTTTGGTTTCTAAGCAGTCCTGTTCTCTCGCCAAACCGACTGCACATATTACTATGTGATGGACGTGTCTGTACGTTCGGGTAAGAGTGTTCGGAACGTGTGTTGTAGATTACGCGAAGAATTTAAAGCACGTGCGCAACCCATTACAAACAGCTCCTTGTTTTGGGCAGTAGAACGGGGGAGGTACTTGAAGAATATGCGTCCTATTAGTGGTAAAACTCATCCGCGCGACGAATTGAAGTCCCAGCGTAGTAGTAGCATCTGCCTGATGGGGTCGGTCGTCGCATGATCACCATTATTCATTGTATTCGATCTACATCATGATTTATTCACTGGAGGACACTGATCAACTGTTTTTTATTTTTTTTTTTTTTTTTTGTCCGTTTAGGACGATGTCATTGCAAACCGAACATTGACGATTACGACTACGACCACAGCTCACACTCCGTTACCAGTGGGCAGTACACCGATTCACGAACGACCGGTAAGTTGTGGATCGAAAGTAAAGTATATATCATTATCATTATATTTATACGTTGTATTTTTTCGCGTATGATTATAACGATTCGTCCGGCAGATCAATTGGTCCCTTGGGTCGTTTGTCGCCATTGAGATGTCGTTTTTTTGCGGATATTTGATTACCCAGGTGCCCGGCGGCTTTCTGGCCTCCATGTATCCAGCTAACAGGTAGATGTCTACACTTATTATATGTCTTAAATAAAATATAATATTATAATATGCACCATGTGTATGGAGTGGGCCACTACGTTATAACCTTTGACACACAATCTCTTAAACTCAGTGACCCATCCTATGCAGTATGCAGTGTGTGGTTGATATTCGCCATTACTGTTAAGAATACATGTAATATCCGTTTTCAGAGTTTTCGGGATTGCTATTGCTATGTCGTCATTTCTCAATTTGTTAGTACCGTCGGCAACGGAGATCGAGAAATCCCTATACGTAATAGTTATCCGAATGTGTCAAGGACTGGTCGAGGTAATTATAAAATCTATGCCTTTGCTCGCTGATCTCTATTATTACTCGGCTTTTTCGAGATTTACAATAAACGCGATTAAATAACTACGAGAAAATAAATATATATTATATATTATAAACATAGGATGCAAATCATAAATATGCGGTGGCAACCAACTATTAATACGATATCCAACGTGCAAGTCTGCAAATATTAATGATGCAAATTCATTACTGCCTAGTCCAAGCACATGCCAAGAAAATAAAACTAACTCTAAGCCCAACTATGCCCAATATAATAACAAAACAATCTAAAGTCTAAATTATTTTAAAAAACTGGGCATTTGATTTGATTTTATCTACGATGTATATTACGATATATCTATGTATTTATTTGAAAAATTATGTAGAATTAAGCGTAGAAATCTTGATTTGGGTTATTGTACACTACAATTAACATTCTTCTAGAAATTAAATTTTTTTTTTGTTGAGATTATCACCATTTAAATACATGAACATAAATAATTAAAAAATCAAAATAATTCATACACAGCATTATTAAAAAATAAAAAAATAACCAATCTTAAAATACTTGTATTCGTGAATCGTATATTTCATATTAGTTGTATGGAACGATCACCAAGTATATACTTGCTAAATATCTTTGACTCGGCGATTATGGTGGACTGTATTGGATAAAATAACTGAATATATAAATAAATAAACAAATATTAGTTTATATAAAGAAATAAATAAATAAATGCTTAGACTGGAATATTATTATATTTGTAAAGTATGACCGGTTTCGAATTAAAAATTCATTATCAGGTATATACAAAGTAAATAAGAGCCGCAATTTCATTGTATTTGCATACAACGATACATTTTTAATTTGAAACCGGTCGTACTTTAAAAATAATAATAATAATACTCCAGACTAAGTATTTATTTGTTTAATTATATATTAATTTACGAGTATTAATCATTTAATAATTTTTAATTTTAATTAAATTTTTTATTATTTTATTAAAATAAATAAATAAATTCTATACTTTTACAATAATATGCTATATCATAATAAAGAACACTTAATTGGCAAAATAATGAAATAAAAATTTGTAGACCCTTTACCATTGTAATATATAATTTTTTAATTAAAACCAAGCGATAAGTGCCTGGATGCGTCTCATTATATTCTTAATACGAATATCTATTCTCTCAGACACTGCGTAAGTCTGCCATCGCTCCAAGAATAGAGTAGACAATTGTGCAGTAGGATAGCTGTCTTATATACCCAGTTGCCAGAAGATTAATCAACATAAAATAAAAAAAATAAAATATGATTTATAGCACAATGCAATACAGAAACTAGGTTGGGTTTAAACAATAAAGATAATAACCCTTAATTAATAATCGCATGAATAATATTTTGATATAGATATTAACACTTAATCAATAAAAGTATAAATAATAAGACGATACCGATAAAAACAAGTAAGTAATGAAAATATAAATAATTACTCATTTGAAGTATACCGAAATAAAATGCAAAAATCAATTGATAATGTATAAGTATAATTTTGTTCAAACATGTGTAGTGTTTGAAGTACCATATTATGAAATATTAGATTTTTATTAACTACTTCAATACTCTTACTGTCTTACAAATCAATAAATAATATTTAATTTTTGATTTTTGACTGATTGTAATAAAAAATAGACTACAGCGAAATAAATAATGTTTAGGGCGTTACGTATCCAGCTTGTCACGGTATCTGGAGACACTGGGCCCCGCCACTGGAAAGATCGAGACTGGCCACCATAGCCCTGTGCGGATCGTACGCGGGCGTCGTGGTGGGCATGCCACTGTCCGGCTCATTGATCGACTGGTTCAGTTGGGAGGCACCGTTCTACGTGTATGGTAGGTGATTTCGACGCATTGTGAAGGACGTAGGTGTAAACACCCCGAATGCACGGGTACATTAACGGGTAATTTTTGAACGGAGAGATGGATGGGGTTAGGGCACAAAAATGAGTCGAATAACATCCAAATCAGCCGTCGATTTGAATCGTTTTGTTTTTATTTATTTTTATTTTATTTACTTGTATTATAAGTAGTTATACTATTATACATAGTTGTAGGTAATTAACATGGTATTTCAGATGAATACATATCGGATATTTATCGACACACAGATCCAACGTTCTATAGCATAAATGCATTTCTGTATTCATCATACTGTTTACAAACATGAACGCAGGAAACGGTACCTCGTGCCCTACCCCTTTGTGACGTACGTGTCCCCAAACCTCTCACCCAAGAAATTCTTGAAAATTTCTATTCAAATATTTTGTACGTCATTTGTATGAATTTGTTTGACAGTTCTTAGAATTGTACGATACTAGTATTCGATCAATATCGAAAATACAGATGGGGGGCTGACAGACATATATCTCCAACTCTTCCAGATGTAAATAATTTAGTATTTATATATTTTATACTGCACGCTTTAAGAACTCAATCTGTATGAATTTGTGTGACCATTTTCGGAATTTGTATGCAACCCCTTCCAATTAATAATCAAAATACCTATTTTCCCATTACTTTCCCCATTCGGAAATATCTACTCTTTTATACTTTATTATAAATGATATTTTTAGATTTTTGATTTATAAGATTACATCTATTTTTAACCCGATTATTATAATTTTTGTATTGGGTTCAGTTAATTTTGTCGATATCAGTCATTTGTTTAACAATTTTATACTGCACATTATACAATTTTAGTATTTATTCTGTTTGAGCTATTTGTGTATACGATTATATTAAGCCATATATTATATATAATTAAGCACAATCTTTAAATTCTATTAGGTAAAAGTTTTCGTAGAAGCTCCATAGGGAATTACTCAATATATGCAAGAAGATGTGGGAGTTATTGGGAATTTTATGATGATTTACAGAAAAAATCTTTGTCGATAGTTGAAATTGCAACGACCTCATGTGAACTTTTAATTTACAGTGTAAATTTTTATACTTCAATTGGTTTAATTATTCAATTTTCGCAAAGGAAAAAGTAGACATTTTCGAATTGAGGGGGAACATGGGAAAATGGGTATTTCGATTATGATGTGGGAGGGGGTTGCATATAAATTCCAAAAATGGTCATACAAATTCATACAAATTGAGTTCTTGAATCGTGCAGTGTAAAGAATATGAAAACTTAATTATTTAAATCTGGAGGGGCTGTAAACATGTGTCGTCAGACCCCTTCTGTATTTTTGATATTGGTCGAATACTAGTGTCGTACAAATTCTAAGAATTGTCAAACAAATTTATACAAATGACGTATAAAATATTTGAAGAGCAATTTTCAAGAATTTCTTTGGTGGAGGTTGGGGTTAAGTACGTCCTCTTTGTATACTCTCTTCCACAAACACGTTACTAATCTTTCGCGCATCCACGTTTGCGTGTGAAACAATATGTGTCTTAATACCGTCCTGCTCTACGTTTACAGGAGTGATGGGACTGATATGGTACGTGTTCTGGCTGTGGTTGTGCTTCGAAAAACCGAGTCTCCACCCCACCATATCGGCCAAAGAATTGAACTATATAGAAAAGTCGCTGGGCGCGGCCCAAATGTCACCGGCGCCGACAATCGTCAACACGCCCTGGAAAGAATTCTTCACCTCGATGCCCGTGTACGCGATCATAGTCGCCAACTTCTGCCGGTCGTGGAACTTCTACCTCCTTGTACTGTTCCAAGCCTCGTACCTTCATTCTTTCAACTTCGAAGTGTCCGCGGTTAGTACGATCTCGACGCTATATGACATTTATAATTTATAATACGACTTTTTGCTTACATGGTTTACATTTGAACCTGCAGTGCCGTGTCGCACATCAAATTATAATATTATTGTAGTGGTCGTTTAAAACGCATCGGGTATTTCATCCCCGCGTTGCTCTTGAATTGATTCGATCTTACTCCGTCAAATGTTTTGACCGCACTGTGACAGTGTGACACTGTATTATAAGTCAAGTAGTGCCGTAGCCAACAGAATTTCTCTTCCGGAGGAGTGGCTTAATTTTATAACGAAATATACACTGTAGTGGATTTCGCGTATCATATATTATCTTAAATTTAAGCCGCAAATAGTAAAAATAACGATAAACGTTTATTTAGATTCATAATAATATAACGATAACATATTTTGCATAAATCTGAAGTGTTTAATATAATTTATATATTTTTGTTTGATTCATATTTCGCATAAATACGGCCAAAGTAGGAGGAAAGGTGTTTTCTTCTTTTAAAATGTACCAATTTCAAAACCATCCAAGAATCGATTCAATCACGATCCAGAATTATGTTGTATAAAAACTCGTTTTCCGATTATGATCTCCATTCGACTATTAGTTAAAACATCTTCTTTCGTCCATCAAACTCATATCCTTTAAAATGGGCGAACCAACTGACCCAAATTATTTAACCTATTCCAACCACTACTTATCTGTTATCAAATCCTTTAAACATCCATCTACTAGTATAGGCGTAAGCCTGATATCGGAAACGGTTTCCAATCTAGTCCATTTCTCCAAAGCAAAACAATGAAAGGGATTTCAACACAGAAAATATATACTTGGCTATGTTACTGCGCACTGCTATCACAGTTATCGTACTCATATCGTCTTACCTGACCGTTGTTTCAGCCTAATGTAGATTGAAAAAGTGGTTTACTCTGCGCAGTAAGCCGACAAATTAACCATGTGATTAATGCAAGGGCGTACCCATGGGGTGGTTTTGGAACCAGACCCCTCCCATTGAAATTTCTACATACTCAACGGTTTAGTAGTAAATAGTATAATAATAGTATATAGTGTATTTTAATTTCCTATTATCTTCAATATACAATGTTTATAGATTATATAATATACCTGTAATGTATAAACCATATTTTAGTATATTTAAAGTAATTTTTTGGTATTAAGTTAAACTATAATTATAATTAGATAACAGATAAAATAAAAATTTTGGACCCTCTCTCATAAAAAATTTCTGGGTACTTTCCTGTATCAGTGTATTCCTTTCCTGTATCATAAACAGATAGGTATCGAAAAAGAAAAAAATATATTTACGTAACACTAACTAGAACGTAAATAAAATTTTATATTTAAGAATATATCGATCTCATAGCCGTTCGTCGACTTTAATATTTCAATCGCCTGACATTTATTTTATTTTTTTTTCATAGACTGGTTACATCGGTGCATTACCGCATCTGTTGATGACCATAGTGGTTCCCCTCGGAGGTCTCCTAGCTGATCATATACGAAAAAATGGCATTCTCTCTACGACTAGCGTTCGGAAGATTTTCAACTGTGGTGGTTTCGGTATGGAAGCCACGTTCTTCCTCGTGCTAGCTAACGCTGAAACACCTGTCACCGCTACAATAGCGCTAACCTGTGGCGTAGCATTCAGCGGTTTCGCTATTTCCGGCAAGTTTTAATAAATATTCTTATAGTGCAGGAGAGGATTATGGGGGCGAACGCACGTTGATTTATTAAAAATCGTTGTATGTTCACGTTGTATGTTTCGCAGGGTTCAACGTAAACCATTTGGACATCGCGCCGAGATACGCCAGCATACTGATGGGCATCTCCAACGGAATCGGTACGATAGCGGGTCTTCTATGTCCGATCGCCATAAACATCATCATCAGGCACAAGGTACGTACGCCGCGCCGTTATTGTTACATGGTTGATTGTAATTTTCTCGAATCGTTTGCAGACAAGACAAAGTTGGAGCGAGGTGTTCATACTGGCAGCCGTCATACATTACATTGGCGTGGTGTTCTACGGCATATTCGCTTCAGGAGAACTGCAACCATGGGCCGAGCCCAAAGTCGAAGAAGACCAACAAATGGACGAGGTCAGTCTCCCGCGAGCGTACGAATAGGTTGCGCGCACGGAAACCGTCGCGAAACGGTTTATCGTATTGTAAATTATGCGTTGGCGGGGCAGGAAATTCGACTAAATCCGAAGGGTGCGGGTCAATCATCGGAAAGGTGCTAACGGAATGTCGTTATTGGAGTCGACCATTATTCACTATTCGCATTGTGACGTACACGTGTATACTTATCTATCTATATTTAACTGTCGATCGGCGGACACTGGGCAGGAGTAGCCGTGGTGCAAACCGTGAGGCATTTATTATTTTTAACACGACGCTATCATGAAATCCTTAACGATGGCGTTCAGACGATTAAGAAGACAGTTTATTATAATTGATTATTAATTGTACCGTGATTCTGGTCTGGGAGAAAACACCGATCGTTGTAGTTCAGGCATTAGTTTTTAACCATGAACTGGAATAGTGCGATCGCGTTAGAAATTCATTGAATAGGCATATTTTGAGTTGCCTACACCGAGCATGGGTTTTTGTTAAAATATTTTAAGAAATATATTTATCAGTTCACGTTTAATGATTTCTGTCAAAATTTGTAAACGCGCACAACACGTGCTACACGAGCTTGCTTTTTCCAACCAAACGAATGTTTGTAATTAAATTATTTGTGGGATTCCAGGTGAGTACCGAGAAAAAGAAGCTCTCGTCGTACGGCTCGGTCGAGCAGTCGGACAAAGGGTTCGTAAACGCAGGACTGAAAATCGGTAACAACGATGCTGTACCCGCGCCACCAACCGACAACCCGACCAATCCGTTTCTGGCCAAACCTGCCGCCACCAACCCTTTCGCGCCATCCGAGTAAATACTACCGAACAGTGCGGACCGATCGAATATCCATCGTGAACATATTAACATATACTTCATATGCATAACTCATGAGCAATAATCGTTAGTTGCGTAATTTTGGTATTATTATTATTTTTATTTCGTAGCATTAAGCGTGTTCACATACCTATAGTTATATAATTAATTTCGTCTCAATTACGATGATAATTTAATATTATAATATTTTAATTATACTTATATTTATAGTATTAATGGTAATTATAATAAATTTCATTATTTTGTTCAAATAAATAATTCGCATCTAGAACATAGAATACGAATTTCTCACGTTTCTCTAGTAGCGTAATGTGCATTTATCGATATTTCTATTCACTAGATACATACTTTTATATATTGTGTATGTATATCACATAAATATGTATGGATTAGATTATTGTTCATTTTTTTTTTTTTTACACGTAGACTACTATAGAATGTAATAGATATACTATATAATATTATACAATCCTTAAGCTTCGTCGGCTCTACGACTTGGTCGCATTTGGGTAGGTACCTACTAGATATTTTCAACCATTCGAAGAACGCGCGCGTGGTTAATACGCAGGGACTCTTCGTTCTCGTAACATTATTGATCACTGCTCAGTATAACATCACGTTGCTATGTGGAAAAATAAACAAACGCGTGTTATATATCCAACCGTTCACTCTGAATATATTTTATTTGTTTACTCGTTATATTTCTACATATATTAAACTATATATTTCTTGTCATTTGGACAATATTAATAATACCGTAATATTGATTTTGATTTATCGACGATAGCAATTTTATGTGATTTATGTTTTATACGTACAATCTCGCGAGTGGAACACGACGTGATTTATTTACTTTCTACTTCACGTATTGTATTGTTTATAATAAACTATACTATGCGTAATGTTTTCTTAGATTCTCAGCGAACAAAATATTATTACTAACTCTATTTATATATATATAGGTGTTAGAACAGATCAACATAGTGTAGTGTATAAGTTCGGTGTACGTGCGGGCGGTCATCAGGGTTCGTAACAAGTGGTTGCTAAAACGTTATTTCACATTCGTTTATCAATCCCATAACACATTTAATTCCGGTAGTCTATCGTTCAAATTTATACATATATCATAGATTCATATGAACGTGTATAGCCTCATTGGTGATTACACCATGTTTTTTAGTATTTCTCTTTAATGTTCTCCGATACGATATTAACAGTATAATAAAGTTAAACACGTTTGTTTGGCATGATTTTTTATTCCACTACTGACCTAAGAGCGAATTTCTATGGTAAATTTTGCGGTGATTCGAAGAACCTGCATCATCCGTTAACAACGATCGCGTTTTTTACATAATAATTATTACATTTACCTTTCACTCATACGGCAATCGGTCTCGATGATTCTTTGAATAAACAGCGGACGATTCGCTTTATTAACCAATCAGTCAGTCCTATACATATATATATATATGATTTATTATAATGGTGTTTTGACGATTTCAGAAACTTCCACTCCTAAGCTGTCGAGATCGGTCGCTGTACACGATTAGAATAATAATCGCAGATTCCGCTACGGTGTACAGTCACTATTTGTAGTTTTTCATTAGATACGAATAAAATCATTTTTCGTAGGTGCGTAGAAGATAATTGGTGTTTTATAATAAATATTAAGGTATTTGTTGTTCGTTGCCTTCGTGTAACGTAAGCCTTTTCAAAATTCGTCCTACTGTGATACGATACACGCGAGCCACGGCATCGAAGCTGGGTGAGCTAGTTTTTTCTTACTCCCCAAAAAATATACGATAACTAAATTAATTTTAAATAATTAAGTTTCGGTTTTCGAAAATGACGTATATTATTTCTTGCACAACTGTGGTAAGCATCGCAATGTCTATTTATATATAATAAAGATCCCTAATTTTTTTGAGTTAAACATTCTTAACGTTCTTTCCGATTCGTTCTATTTATTTTTGTTTTCACACCGTTTGCTTATAATGATAAGATATTGTTAAGAAGTTCTTTAAATAATGTCAATTAAAATTGTATTAGTTTGTTTTTTGTTATGATATATACATAAAATATTATCATTTTTGTTCTACAAAACAAAACGCTGAAGTTTTAGCGATAAAATAATATATGAGAACATGTATCTCGACGATGTTAACTGTTGTATTTTGTGTATTGTATATAGAATAATAACTATCTTTACTCTATAACCAATGACTTTCTTTAATTTTTCAATTTCACAGCGATTCGGTATTCATACGTAAACAATCCCGTAATAACTCGCTGCAAAATATGTATTTATTTTATCGCATCAAAAGTTACAAGTATTAATAATGGATAATACATAAAATAGGATTCATTTTTGGTATTTTGTTGTTGTTGTTCTTTTCGATAATTTTTATATAAATAATACTGTTCGGTATTTTGTTCCTGGTATTCCAATTGATCTAAATAGTAGAACCATACGAGTGAAATTAAAAATATAACTGCTACAGAAACAATATGATACATCGGGCAGACATTTTGAAATTTAATTTAATTAAATGTCGATAAATGTATTACAGCTATTAATCACGTCTCTATTTCATTCTTATTTAACAGTCCCTATTTAATTTTACGGGAAAACACTCGTATTACGATATACAATAATCACCCATACCAATCATGCTTATATAGGTACGTAAATTAAAATGTTGTATAATAATTATATTTACAGTAATATAATATTTTAAGGTTATTTTATGTTATTTGTAATACTTAAAATAATAATATATTGTGTTTTATGTGTGTAATTTAAAACAGTTAAGACTTAGTAATAATAATACGATTAAGACATGAGATATCTATTTCAATAGATATCTCAAGGCTGACACGACAATAAAATAGGATTAAGTTAGTTTTTAAGGATTTAATTAAATTTTTTTCCTATTAATTTTAATTTTTTTCTTTTCACGTTTATAATTTTTAATAGGTAGGTTAGATTTTGTAAATTTGTTGATTTTGCGTACCATTATTTGTTAAAACATTATTGTTATTATACTATTTTAATGTACGATTTTGTTATGCTTTTCGGTTCGAACAGTGGTTTTATAATTTCCTCAAAATATTCAGAACACAACGATTTGCCTTAACGCTGACAATAAATAAATCAACTCTGACAATAATTTATAATCGATACGGACGAATTTAAACAGCACTCGTTATACACATAATGTCACTGTCAATAATATTAAAAATAATAAATTGATTAATAAAATAATAACAATAATATACCTCGATAAATGAAAATATAATATATGCACATTAAATAATAAGTTTATCATGTTGTCATATGATAAAAAATAAAAAAATAAAACATATTTTACTCGTCACACACTGCACTAGTTACTCGAAAAGCACATACAATTAAGGTACGTTAACCGTTTCGATCAAAAAATTGTATAATATTTTAATATAATTAAACGTAATTTATTTGTTATATTTATAATACGTGTATATAATGTATTTTATTTTCTAAATTGTAGGTTATTATTTGTTTAAAAAATAGCTATATATATGAATAAGTTAACGTGTAAGAATAATATTATATATTATACTGTACACCTAGGCTACAAGTTAATATTATTATTGCAATGTTTCTCGTTATTTTTCTAAGTAAATTATACTTCGAAACGTATTTTAATATTATCACCTCTCTCGATTATATGTTATACACTGCAACAGTGGTTATTTAGTTATAATGTGTTTATATTTAATTAATTACATATATAGGTCGATAACTGTAAGTCTACTTTTTTTTCTATATGAATGCGAAAAGTCAAAAATATTTAAAAAAAAAAATTAAGACTACTATAACATTAATAATATTGGATACTTTCTTTGAATTTTCTATATAAAAAATAAATTTATTATACAAATATATACCTAGTGTAATCTATACTATACTTTACGTAATTTCTTAGAATAAAATAGACTGTAGAATTTTATCCTAAAACTTATATCATTGTCCGTAATAAATAACTATTTATTAAGTACAAGAACACTGCATGCGAAATAAACGGAAACGATAAAAAAAACAATTAATGTACTAATCGTATAATTTTCCAAATTGTATCGCGAACAAAATACTTTTAAAATTGGCGTCAGATCCCTTCGATTAGCTATCGGATTACAATCGGGAAACAATTGTCCGTATACGAAATCGCGTTAATATCATAAGTTTTGCTAACTGTTTTATTTACACGTACGCAACTTGAGTAACAAAAACAACGAAAAAATGTCGACAGTATTATTATAATATTATATCGAGTAAAACTATTTTTTGAAAAAGGGTTCCGTAATCCATCGTCTCCGGTAGCTGATCTTAGTGGTTTGACAACAAATAATAACATAGTCCGTTTCATTTCGACATGTACAGTACTAATATTATACTTAAGTGGTTGTACAAATTGATTGTCAACTGTCAAACGATTTCGTTTAATGTTTGTTTGCGGTCGAGATTTATACTCAAGCGATTTTTACCATTTAATGTATGTTGTGCTTTTTTAAAAATAATTCATATTGTATGAACAAGTCTCATTATACTTAGTATCTTCCTAAAATATTTTACCATTTCTACTACTTAGCCAAATTTGTTTGATGTAATTTTAAAATTTAAATATATTTTAGTGTTTCAAAAATAATTATATGTACTATTGATCTTAAATTATTTTCAATTGTCCTTTGACTATAATATATAGTTTCAGTGAACGTTGTCAATCTATCATTGTTCCCTTTCCTCGACAGTGGTCTTACCAAATACACATATTATTATTTTACAGATCCATCATGCAGTACTGATAATTTTTGCGTCTACCAAGAGCGAAGGTGTAATTTGAGGAACCAAGAGTTTCTATAGTTACATCGAAATACATAAATTTAGCGTGTATACAGTCAGTTTCAACATGTTTTGAATTCTACAGTTCTTTGAAAAATAAAATTACATACATATAATAGTTTGAGAATATATAATATTTTTAAGTTTTCTACCGATGAATAAAAAAATTGTCGTGCGATACAATTTAATTAGAACGCACAAATTACTTGAAAATATATCATGTAACATATCGCTTCTCCGGTGGAACAACGACATAAGTGCAAATTTTTGACTTTTAGACATAAGTACGACAACAGTACAATAACATTTCATTTTATCGAATGGAACAATGACATAAGTATAATACCTATTATTGACCGCTAGAGAACAGTTTCGTCATTGTTGAAAATACCGGTTTTTAATCACATGTCCAATGGAACAATTACGTTTTCTGAAGAACAATTACATTTTCACTTACGCTGTTGTTCCACCGGAGAAGCGATATTTGTATTCCCTATGAATGCATTTGTATTTTTTTTGTTCCGATTAAGAGTTGAAATAATATACTTTCGCTTGTAAAAATATTTATACCTATGGACGAATGAGTTGAATGCACGAATAAAAAATTAACGATAGATATTGACTAATCATTAATGTGTTTCGAAAACGGAATAGATAATATTTCGATAAAACGATAAATTTCAGAAAATTCAAGGACTTTTTTTTTTTTTTATTCGCAACAATTTATAAACACGCAATCAAGGAAATGAGATTAAATGGATGACATCCGACCATATGCGCGCATTCATCTCGTGTACACAATTTTTTTTTTGCAGCGACAAGAAAAAAAAAAATTAAAATGAAATAAAACAATTCGTAAAACCGCGCAACACTTTACCAGTGACATATTAATATCAACACAGAAAAAAAAAAAAAAAGATAATAACTATATTCTGGTTTGACCGTATTATTGTGACGCGCTAGCGCGAAACCGATTCCGCCCATCATTTAACGTCGGTGTCAATTAGCTAACGGGCTACTGTTGCATCTCGGTCAACGTGTTCCCGTTACCAAACGTCTTACGACCGATCGAACCGCTGCGGACGAGGGATAAATAATCAACGCCACAAGTTTACAGAGGTGCACCAAGTTCCGGTCCGGCGTGTGCGCATATTGTTTCGGTCGGTAATTTTTATTTTATCCTCTCGCAATCATCTTAACGCAATAATAAGTACCTCGGCAACGTCTATCGTTGCGTCGTAACGGTTTGGCTCGCGCGACGAGTTCATTTCCATAACGTCCGCTCCCGGTAGCTCGGTGCAACAAGTGCCAACGTCGTGTTACGACAATGTTTCGGAGTAAAATCATTTTGTTGGTCATTATTTTTAATTTTCACGTAACAATTTTAAATTTTATTTAGGAACCTCGTAAATTGTGGGTTTTTTTTTTTTTTGTTGATTGTAAGACTCATTTCGTGTTCAACTATATCAGTCCGATAATCTCAATCGCGTGAAAATGCTTTTACCAAGCCAACCGACACGTATTATTCGATGGAATATTACGTATTGGTCGACCGGTTTATGACGGACGTTTCGATCCAAATCGTTTTCGGCCAACCGCACGTGGTCAACGCATATTGTGCGGGATGGTTGCGAACGGGTCTCGCGTACACACGAACAACATCACGACAGGCAGTGTTTACGCGTACGGAAGAAGTAGCGTATTAAAACACATTCGCTCAGAATCTGAAACGTCAGCGGTTCGGTCCAAGTGGGACACGGCATCGGAATACGTTAAGCCGCGTATACATGTGCGAGCCGAACCTACTGCGAACCGTTCGCGAACCGCTCGCGCCGATCCATCGATAGTCGGTTTTTTTCACGAACGCAACGCGAACCTAGTGTAAGTTTGGACGGTACGTTGACAGGTTCGTCAGTTTTTACGAACATCATTATTTTTATCGTGGAGTGGTCAGAGGAAGAAACTATTTAGCTTATTGATATTTACAAAAGTAAACCTTTATTGTGGAATCCTAAAAACGAGAATCATTTTAAAAAGCATTTAAAAGAGGATGCATGGAGGAAAATCGCCGCTGCTATGGCGAAGAAGCCTATCGATGACCGCAAAAAGAAGGTTGTTTGTTTATTGGCTTCCTTCCGGAGGGAGAAACCAGCATCGCATACTCTTCGGAAGACATTGTTAGTAGTTACTAGTAGACAAGTACGAACGATACTGCCGGTATTTCAGTAAGTTCATCGTTGGTTCGCCGTTGGTATTGGTTCGCGAACGGATCGCAAGTGTGTACGTGAAATTAACGAACATGATTCGAACACTTCATAAGTGGTTCGCGGTAGGTTCGGCTCGCACATGTATACGCGGCTTCATGATTGGACACCACCGTTTCGAGTAGGTACCTTTTTCATCACGTGGACACCCCACGACCGAAATAAGCTCGTGTACATCCGTTGTATCCGTGTATCACGTTATGATATTCTCGTTCCGATCGGTGTTTTTTTTTCCCTCGTTTATTATCGAAAGCTGTTTTCGATCGTATCATAATCGTACGGACCCGAGGTAACCCGCGATGCGTCGACACGAAACCATCGATACAATCCTGGGCCGACCGATCGTAAGTTAATTATACGTTTCACTTGTCGTTATTGTTGCACATGTCTCACAGACATGATCATTGCCGTACGATTTCCTATTAACCGGAATAGATCGTCACACAGATCAACGATCGTCGTGAAAACAAACTTACCGCCAACAGGTTTTTAATTGGTATATTTGCCATTCCTACGGGGCGCCTATTCTAATTCGATCGTAAACGTATTTCGCGTACACATAACATGTCAACGCCACTTAAAAAGAAATAGCCTGTCTCTGCGCTCGCCGCTACCGTCAATCGATATCACACACAAACACACACACAGTCACACATAATTTTTGACCTTGTTGTATATTCTATTATCGTGTGTGAATTATTATATGCAGATTACACAGAGAGTTATCGCATGCAGCCGCGTCAGCTGCGTATTTCATCTAACACGGCCGCCCAAGCAATTTTGAGTCCGTTCCGTAGTGCTGAGGTGATATTATTGATGTACAAGCGAAAATTGTTGTCTTTTTTTTTTGTTATTATAATTTGTCTCGTGGTCGTGGATCGCCCGATATTATTCCTTTTTTTTGTGTCATTAGTTTTATTATTATAGTTATTATACCTAGGTAGGACCAGCTGGCCAGACTGCGCTCCACAAGATGTGAGTTCTTTTTTTAATATTATTTAATTATTATATTTTTTGTTTAGAATTATTTAGTTATTAGGTCAAAAGGGCGATATATTTATTATTTTATTGTGCCAGAAAGGCTACACATTATTTTTGCACATATTAAGTTTACATTATACCTTTCTTCTGTTTTGCTAAAAGAACCATAAATATTATTATTACTATATTTTTTTATACCTTGATGTTGCTGTGATTTTCATATATTCTTCATATCCGTTAATATTATTTAATTTGTGTATTATACACAGCGGCGGATTGGCTAAATATTTCGGCCCGGGAAATTACCGTATGACCGGCCCATCATCCAATAATAATAATTTTCCATAAAAGTCTCCTTTATCCATGGATTAAATGCTCGTAAAACTGTTTATATCACGTTTATACTAGGTTTTTATCAAAATCTTACAATCACATACAATATACTTAAATATATTATTTTTATAAAATAATTTTTAATCCAAGTAGATCGGCCTAGTGTTATAATACGATTACCGGCCCACCAGGAATTTTCCCGGTATTCCGGTGGGCCAACCCGCCGCTGATTATACGGCTACTAATTTTTATCTGAAACGTGTTATCATTTTTTATTATTGGTTATTTGTAAACACACTAACAAATACACACAAAATACACAGGTCGGTCGGTGTGTGAGAGTAAAGTACGAAGCAAAGGCTCACCGGGCGCACGACATAATATTTTATCGTTCCCGGCATACACAATACAATTAATAACGTTTAATGTTCACGAGATAGCGCCTTATCTTAATGTTATCATAGTGCACATTGCCTGTTGTGCGGATGTCGTCCCATAGTATTTAGGTTGCATTTACGTTCACAAAACGTATATGAAATAATATTATGACAATAGTTTTTCTTTTTCTGTTTATTAAAGTTCATGTGAATTCGATTTTTTTTTTCAGTTATAGTTCGTTGCCAAAACGTTTGAATTGCATACTATAAAAACGTAGGAAATGGACGGTTATACTGATCAGACTTTTAAAAGTTCGTCGTTCCCGACGGAATCACTTTCTCCGCCGGGGCAATCGGTGTCTAGATTCAGAGACGAATGTGTTCGTATAAAAATGAAATATTTTAACAGAGAGTATGCAAAAATTTTCGTTGCATTCATAGGTAAGTCATTGTGATAAATTAATTGTGAAAATATTTCGAACCCAACGCAGTAAACAGTTGTGTGCGGTAATTACGTCTTACAAAAACGTCCAATAATAAATATTAGCGCAAAAATAAATAGTTGTAAAATATTTACATCACATTATATATAAGTCCAAGAATATCTATTAAAAATAATAAATATCGGTGTACAAGCTTGTAATAATATTTTGTAATAATTGTAATAATATTTTGATATGTTCAACTAATTCTATGATATTATACATTTTTATACGTGTTCGTTAAGATTAAACAAATCATAATACATTTTTGTCGTAGGTGTAATGCTTGTAAACATGATGCAAAATAATTTTTGGCAGCAAATCGTTGAAGTGAGTATACTAAATTAGAACTGTATTAAAATATTATATTACGATCGGTAATTTGAATTTATTGAGAACACATTAAATCATTCAAATTCCATACCGCTACCCGAAATCAATAAAACAGTACAGGATCGAGCTGTTTATTTTATTTTGGTTTAGATACTGAAGTATATAAACATCGAATTAAAGAGGTTATCACAGAGTTGAATTAATTAAATTAAACAACCAGGGCTCAAAAAGACGTTTAATTAATTAATAATTATAATATAATCATAATTAATCTAATACAACTCAAATGCGTTTACAAGAAACTGTATTCTTAATGTTGCAAATTAAAATGTTTACATAAAATATTATCAAATATATCAGGTGCGAATGCAGGGGAGGTTATATGAGTTTATTAACCCCCCTCGAAATATCAGGAAAAATGTTATAAAAAAATATGTGACTCACAAATTTATTAGTTATTTCAAAGTTTCTCATGAGATTTGCAAATAAAATATTTTTTACAATAATAATTTGTTAATTTTTACGTTTTACTGAAGACAGCTTAACTAAGTACATTATAATGATAATTTTTTCTTAATTATCATTAATGTCATTTATTTTCGTTGATTCAACAATGATTTAACATGTTTTAACTTTGTTTTTCGTATAAAAAATTGTATATTATATATAGATATTTAACCTAATTACCAGATACAGAAATAGCAATTACCTGCTATAGTAAATTTGATAGTACGATATTCATAATTTATTACGAGTTTCCTTCCTATTTTCTGTCTGGAAAAAGAAACTATGGTTGTCAGTTACCAAGTGATCGTATTCTTATCGTTTCGCATCAATTATTTAAACCCTATTCGAATTTAAGATGTTATTTCACATAGCGAAATCACACTTTTTTAGTTCTATCATCGCATATTGTTAATTCTATTTCCCTTTAATAAATAAATTATTGAGTTATTTTTGTTAGTAATGTGAACACGTATTTTACTAGTACTGTATTGATTTTTAATATATTTATCTTTCAACAAAAAAAAAGAAAAAACTTTGCTCAAACCAGAATAAAATGCAATTATCAGGGAAGACGATGATAAACCTTAAAACCACATATTTATGATAAACGATAAACCCGAGAATAACAACTTATAACATATTAATATATAAATGTCATATACTTATAAAATATTCCTGTGTAAAAATATGGTATTACAGAGTAGTGTGATGTTTTTTGAATACAACAATACGACCTAATTATTTAATAATAATTACAATTATATTTTCTTTGCTAGATGTTAAAACCATAATAGTATAATTAATGATTCTATATACGTATTTTCGATGTTTATATAGTACCAATGCTTTACTTGCCGATGGAAAACGTGACCAAAATTAGAAATCATAATGATTTTCGTTATTTTATATTTTTTGTATTACACATTCGTAATGCTAAAGCGTACATATCAATTCGATCTTAAAATAAAAATGTTACTTTATTTGAACGAAACAATTACATTTACGCAAACGGGTTATATTATCATTATTATATACAATATATAATATAGGTATATAATATTATAATATTTCATAAGATTCTTAATATACGACTCCTAACAGTTTTTTAATTCGTTCGTATATAAGTGATCATAATGGTTCATTAAAACAAATAATATATGTATGAATAAATGTTTTTAATATAAATTGCTTAATATTTTTAAGTCTTTAAAGATTTTATACATATTATGTACAACGTTATTGTTCGATTTATTATTGTTTTTGATTCCATAATTTTAGAATGAGTTTGGTTCGCATCATCGATTTTTGTTAGCATTTACAGCCGGGATTTTCAGTGTGCTCAGTGGCGTATTATCGTGTATATATCCAGCACAAAAGTAATATATTAAAGTTAATACATTAAAAATTTCAGTTAATGATTAACATTAACCGTTAATAACATTGTCCGTTTCGTTTTCAGTGTACTCGGGATTTCAATATTTCTAACATCAGTGGTATACATGGTGAATCTTTTATGTAAAGGTTGGTTGGATCAACATTTTTTCATGCACCTGTTGCGAAATATGATGTTTGTAAGAATACGTTTTGACTAAGTTACGACAACGGTATCATAGTACACGCGACTATATTGCTCTAGGTCACGGCGCTGCCGCCGTTCCACGGGATTTGGGCCTCGTTGATTCAACTACACAAATCGTCAGTCCTCCACGTACCGATTGTTTTGTTTTCAATATACCAGATAAACAGCGACTTTCCAATAGGGATAATCAGTTTTCTCGGATATTCTTACACATTGGGCGAGTACACTACACATTCGTGTGATCATAATCATACGGAAGTATAGACAGTGGGCGGTTGTAAACTCTCCCGATTTTTAACGACTGGTACACTCTACCGAGGTGATGGATTTAAGGGGGGGGCGAGGATTTTGTCTTCTCCCACATTTAAATAAGACTTTGGTTATTATTTTAATAGTTATATTATATCAATTATTAGTCAGTTATTATTATATCAATGTAAAAATTATAAATAACACAATTCAATAAAATTATTTCGAGAACAAATTTTTAAAGTTTCTAGTTTATCTTATAGTCAATATAACTTATATCAGTGCTTCTCAACCTTTTTTATTGTAAGGCCCCATAAATTTAATGTAAAACTGTCAAGTCCCCCCTCAATCAAAATCATAAATTATTTATTGTTAATGATATACTAAATTTATATGCAATATTTCACACAAATAAATTATTAAAATGTAAAGAAAATAAATGTTTTTTAATATATTTTTGAAATGTAATCCCATAATTGTATAAAACTTAAACATATATAAACTAAAAATAATTGGTAATAACTATAAATCAATACAAAAATATTCAGTAATAATGTTGATTTGGTTTCAAACAAAGGCTAGGTTAATAATAATAATAACAATAAAAAAATAAAAATAAATGTTATAATTATTAATGTGGCTTACATATTTTTGCATAACATATTAATGTCAGGTGTGATATTTGAAACTGAAATAAGCAAGTTTGCTTCTAAAGACTGTTGCGAAATGCATGATCTATATTTTTTTTTATAATTTGAAGTTGTGAAAATGCAGTTTCACAAAGATATGTCGATAAGATATTGCAAAAGGTATAAATATAAGTAAAGCCACTTTCGAAATTACAAGATAATCTTGCTGTCGTCTTAACCAAAATTTAGTGAGTTCTTTTCTTTTTTATTAAATTCCGTTTCAAGAGTTTTAAATGAAATAAATATTTCACGACCCCTTAGGAGGCCGCGACCTCCAGGTTGAGAAGCACTGTCTTATAGGAGTAATAAACTTAATGCCATAAAATAAAATAATAATAATAATAATTTTTCAAGTAACATTATCTGTAACATACAGTTATGACTTAAGTTGTGTATTTCATAATTTTTTAAAAATTTTACCCCCCCCCCCCCCAAAAAAAAAATATCCTGGATTCAATATTATTCTCCTGGGTCTTCTTCAGAGCTACCTGAAGAGTATATGTAAACTTTCCTGAATTCGTGAAAACTTTGTATATATTATCACTGTCGAGGTTTTGTTAAATAAAATTGCGAATCAATAGGTTAGAAATCGAGTACCCCATGTAATTGAAATTACTTGTTTAAATTGATGTTTAATTGGATATCATAAAAGAAATTAAAAAAACTGTCTATTTTATGTCCGTGTAACCCATCGTTACGATGTTATTCAATTGGTTGATATATGAGTATATCGACAACGGTGTAATGCGCAGAGGGAGTTGCTCCGGACCCGGGAGAGTTTATACAACAGGTAAACCCTGTGTGGGTAGTCTTTGAGTAGGCCCGGGAGGTTTTACTGGTCTTAAGTACCGGGAGAGTTACCCGTGTACGATGGGGATCACACGGCGACGGGCCTGAACTCGGATTATGCATTTTCAGGGACAGTCAGCTTTGTGTGGTGCGCCGTCTGGGTGTACATGATTTTCAGGCCGAACATCGTGCCGTCATACACGATGATCAATTCGTGCACCGCACCCACGCTGTCGGACATTCCGTGGAAATCGATGTTCACGTCGATGCCCGTCGTCGCCATCTTGATCGCGGTCATCTGCGAAGCTTTCAACCTGGCGTTCCCGTACATTTGGACGTTGATCTCGTCCGAGCCAGAAGTTAGTGTTGTTTTTCTTGTCAGCTCTATATGATACGTTATCGTAAGACCCAAACGTTGGGCTTCGAAATGTTATTCATAACGTGATGATTAGGGGTGAGCCGATGATAGAATCGATACTTGGTATCGGCCGATATTAGTGATATCGGAAATATCTGTATCGGTTTATTTTCAAAACCGATATTTGAACCGATACCGCAAAAAAAATAAAACCACAAGTATAAAATACATTAATACCAGTAATAACAATATTTTAATTACTAAATATCAATAGTACTGTGGTAGGCCACAGTAAAATAATTCAAAACTAATATTATGTAATATCGGTTTTATCGGTTTGTGGTATCGGATTAATTTTAGTATCGGTTCATGGTTTTTGCCAAAAAAGTTGATTTTTTTATATAATATATTAAAAATCAACTTAGTTTTTACTTGTAATTATAATATCGGATATTTGCAGTGATGTATTGCTAAAATAAATCATGGGTATACGCCTTATTTCATGTAGTAACTATCATATGGTAGGAACCATAAAATTTTTTTCTCGTTTCGCTCGAACAATATTCACTTAAAACCTGATAGAATATTATACTTTTGTATTTATTCCATAATACTTTTACATGCTAAACAAATGGACTAATTATTTTACTGAGGGGTTTTGATTTTTAATTTAACCACTATTCATATCTCTATCTATTTTTAAAGTTAGAAAGCACGTGTTTATGGTATAAATTTATAATATGACACAAACAAATTTCAGGCTTCGCTTAAATTTTATATCACGTTTATTACTGTCACATTGATAAAAAAATTTAAACAAAAAAAATTTAGTCAAAAAAAAAAAATCATGGTTACTTTTTTTTTACGTCAGTATTCTCCAAAGACTTGTTTTGTTTTCAAATTTGAATTTTTCATAAAAAAAAAAAAAATACATAAAAATAATAATATATCCGATACTGAATTACGTCATAAATATAACCAAAAGTTTTACTATTTATATTTGTCAAATTACAAGCTATACGCTAGATACGGCCGCGTATAGAACCGCGTATACCCTCCAATACACCACTGGGTATTTGTTTTATATAGGTATATCGGGTATCGGTAAAAAGTGGTATCGGCTTATCCTTATTGATAATAGACGAAAATCAAATGATGAATATAAACAAAGTGTAACCGACGGATAACAAGTTTTACTAAACATAACTAAAGGTACAACGACGGACGATTAAGGTGTACAGGTATGTAACGTCGTAACCGGATGATTACAAGTAGCGTTGTTCGAATAAATAACGGTTATAAAAATATATATATTTGCGGTAACTTTATGAAATTCATCTTTAATAATTTTATTTATTTTTAAAAATAAACCTTTGAACAATATTTCACATTGTCAAAAGATTAAAATGCTACAATAAAAAAATGTAGTTTTTCATAACATTAAACACAAAACTTGAACACTAACCAAACAATAGTACTTACAAGAAAAAAATTTTATCACGTTAAAATATCAGAAAACGAAAAAACTATATATATATATATTTATTTTTTATTCAAGTTAACAACTTTCTACAGTCTGTGATCGCAACGCTTGATCTTGTTTTTTATTTTTGCGCAGACGTTTTTTCGATTTTCATCGTATAGAATGATGAACACGTTTATTATATTCGTCACTATGATATTCACAATCATTGTGCTCGAATTCTACCCCAAGATAAGATCCACGTCCACGATTAACATTCGAAAGTTTTGGAGCTGCGCATACTTCTTAATGCAAGCAATTTTTTATTACGTCTGCGCGTTCACTAAGGAAACATGGATCGATGATTTATTCTTCATCGTTTATGATATGGTCGAAGTTCTTTACGCCTTTGGTAAGTAAATTATTCGTAACACCAAATTGTTAATTATATAGAATTCTTGTAAAGTTAACATATCTGTCTTTTGATGATTACACCAGGGCTCGGATCTTATAGCACTAAAAAGTACGGAAATATACGTTATTATATGAAATAAAAAAAAAAAAAAAAATTTAAAAATAATCTCTAAAATGCCCTTAGAACATGATTGATACTAACAACAACAAATTGTATTTACATTTCTATCCTTGGTTAATTATCAAAAAATGTATACTCTTTAAATGATTAATTTGATTTCATCTATTGTTTTTCGTATAAAAAGCATTATTTTCTCTCTTCATCTAACAGGGCTCCTAGCTATTTAGGAATTCTTGGCAATTCATTTGCTGACAATTTGGCTACATTTAGACTACTTATAATTAGTCCACACTGAGAAACCATTTCTCATCCTTTTTGTAAAATCCCCTCTTCTGACATTCTTTCAATCCTGTATCAAGATATTAATTATTTTTGGTCTTTCTATTAGGGCATATTTTTGTCAAATTCGTTTTAAAATATAAAAGTTCCCTCTTGAAAGACATGGTTCAACAATTTTAAATTAAACAAAACGTTAATTATTCAGTTTAACTAACTTTGGGTCGGTCATTATTTACTTCCCTCTTATTACAAACTTTTTTCGGTTGTATCCGAAAACCACACACTTTTGATTTTGACCCGAAAAAGGTCGATAGACAAAAACCGCACACTTTATCGGTCATTGTATAACAAATATAAATAATGTTATAATATATATATGTAGTGATGCGAGTTTGTATTATACAAGGTATACACATGGTATACAATTATTTTATACGGACAGTATAACTATATATATATATATGTATAGTATATAGTTTATGTTTTATACATTTTAGAATACTCGTGTATGTTTTTTTTTTAATACATTTTTATGTTTTTAATATTTTAAAATACTCATACATGCAATTTTTTCGTTTGAATAAATTACAAATTATTAAGTATACTTAATGTAGTTAAGTATAACCATTTTGGGGTTGAAATCAAAAGTGTGCAGTTTTTGGATACATTTTTAAAAATTGTACGGTTTTAACCACGGCTGGGCATTAATGAGTTAAAAAGTTAATTTATTTTGTTTTTAATTTTTTATACTTCACCATTTCAGTTTTTTTTAGTTTTTATGTAATAATGATTTACCGTGAATTGTTGAAAATTAAATATTTTATATTTTTCCAATCACTCTGTACTTTTAAGGAACACCCTTTATACATGTATTAAAATATTTTCCAATAAAAGGTCTTATGTTATAAATTAATAAATTAATAAAGTATATGTTAAAATATAATCCAACTATTAAAACTTATTATATTTTCATTTCTCATATAATTTTAAGTTAGTTTGTATATAATGAGTATAAACTATAAATATATAGTTATTAAATCATATAAATTTAAACTACTAAATTGATTTTAAATTTTAGTATTTTATAAAGTATTAAATACTTAAGTATTTATTTAATAAAATATTTTGTGATTATTAAACAATTAGTTATACTAATAATACTCTATTACAAACGCACACATATAAATAATATTAATTCATTATTTTTAGCCTTTTAGGTATTAATTATATTTAAAACTTATTACTTATTAAGTTATAAGTCACTACTGTTTTTTTTTAAAAAATAAAAATTTCAATTAAATACAATACTCTATATAGAAATACTGTATTTTTGTAAAGTATAATAAACACTATAGTTGTAATCTAAAAATTAGTTTTGGGCTAGTAAAAAATAAATTTAGCGTTATATAAAAAAATTAACTTCTTTTTAACTTAATAAAATATTAAAAAAAAATGTGTATTAACTTTTAATTTAACTGAGTTTACCTATAAAAAAAATTAACTTTTAACTTTTAACTTTTTGTTATTGGTGCAAATTAATTTAACTGAGTTAAAAATATCATTAACTTACCCAGCCTTGGTTTTAACCTATCAAAAATGTGCGATTTTAGGAGTCAACACTTTTTTCCTACAAATTCTCATAGTGAGAAAAAAAATTAGTATAATTTCTAAACTCGTGTAGAAATGACGTTGGATCGTCCCCATATTGTTTTTAATTATCCTTTCTCCTCCTATTGCTTACTTGTCTTCAATTTTTTAAAATCTTAGAATGTTTAATTAACTCTTCCTTCCATTCTCAATAAAAATTCCGAAACTGTCATAATTTGAATATTATTTTTAATCTACAAATCTGGTCTGTTCTTAAAATTGTCTATATTTAATTGTACATTTTTTTTTGTTTTTTTTTTTTTGTTATTGTCTAAATACATTTTAAAACAACAAAAAAATTATTATTTATGCATCAATAGATGCATAAAGAAAGATATAAGATAAATTTTCCATTCCACTTATAGAGTTTTATCTAAACATTTGAAAAATTAAATTAACATTAAAAGTCAGAAATTTATGAAAAACACAAAATAAATCCAGTTTATTGCATTTAAGCAAACTATAGCACTAAAACGGAATGAATAGTACTATGAAATTAAAATTTAAAAAAAATACAAAAATATGAAACTTATATTAGTATTAGATTTGAAATTCTTATTTCATAGAAAAAAATGCGTATAACTAACTCTGCAATTTTTATCGGTATTATATAAAAATTAGCAAATGCTATAGAATCTAAAGCTTGTTTATCATGTTTAAACGTGAAACTGTACATTGGATTCCACGTGTTTAGGATTTATTGTAAACCATTTGGACATAGCACCGCGATATGCCAGTATACTGTGCGGCGTCATAACGGCCGTTTATTACATTTTCGATGGCTGCGTAACAAATTTCTTTATTGCAGTCAAGGATTACTTGGTAATTATTCTGATTCTTTAATACTGATTAAATCCATTTAAATGAACATACACGTTTCACTGTTTACATTTCTACTGCATCATATAGAAAGATCATAACGATTTTCTGGTTTGCATCCTGGTGGTTATTATACTCGTTAATATAACAGCAGTAATATTTTATTTCATTTTCGCTTCCGCGGAAGTTCAACCGTGGGCAAAGACACACGACGAAGAAACACAACAAGAATCAGACGATGTCGCTGTATTAGTTAACTGATCATTGTCTTTGAGTGCTTCGTAACGTTAAAAATATTTGACGTAATAAATGTGTCTTTATAAATATACGTATTTATTAAAGTATTTGCACCAATGTTTTCATTAGTATTATATAACAGAATTGTATATCTTAATTGTATGATAAGCTATTTTTTTTTGTGAATTATATTTTTTTAATGTTTTATGTACATAAATATTAAAATTAAAATTAATATAAAATATAATATATAATATAAATTATATTATAATGTATCTAACAAAAAGTATAACATATTTAACAAAAGTAAAGAAATATTATATTTTTATAAATGAACATCATAATTATGATAGGGAATATATAATTTATATGATTTTTATACATATCTTCTAATGGACATAATACCGATGTAGTAACGTTATAATACCACGTCAATGTCCCATTAAAATTCTTACATGTACTGTTATTGCACAAAATCCAATATATACGTTTACATTTTAAATTTCAATAACTTAAATATTTATCATACATGAATGGTATATGTACTACTCGCTTTATAAAATATTACAATAGTTCTAATCAAATGTATCATTATTTTTTATTTTTATTTTTATGAGTTTTTAGCATAAATCACATACTGGTCTCGTACTCGTGGATGAATTATGATTAGTATAGAACGGAAAAGCATAAACTAAGTTGTAATGAATGGAAAAACCAAGAAAATTACTGGGAATGGTTATACGTACCTAAATAAATTATCTGACATGTTATAAGCTAATATATTACCTCTCCGATCCTCGAACGACTTCTTCGAAGAAATTATGATTAACGTCTGAAGTATAGGATGAGGTTTTTGAAATAACAAGACTCTTTTCACTCGTTTGTTATTATGCACTTTATTTAATTTTATTTAAACACATATAACGAAAATATATAAAAAACAAGCATAAGAGCAATATGTACGCACTCATGACATGTATTGAGAGCCGACAACCGGTCTCCTTAAATGTCATGTTTTATGAGTGTTTGCGTGTGTACGTGAGTATGTGCCGGGGTGGACTGAGAGTATTTCAGCCCTAGTGGAGAAGATTTGAGTGGCTCACATTTTTTTTGTATGATCAAAAAATTTGCAGCTCGCTCATTTACAGATTGCTCATCATAAGCTCAAATCTCCTAAAAGGGTGTTTAGCACCGCCAATATATTCTAGAAATAAATAATACTTATCATAATTCATAATATTACATTATATCGTTTTTAATACTTAAAATCTTTTATTTCTATATTTAGATATTACTAAGACAACAATTTATCAGGTACTTATTTTTCAGATAACTAATGATATAGTCATCATAGTGTATTTGTGTTGTTTCGACCTACTATTATCTAATAAAAGTCTTGATTATATTATGTACCTATTATTATTTTATAAGTAAATTTTTATTTTCATTTAATTATCTGTTTATTTTATTATTTGTTTTAAAGATTTGGCCGAGTACTTGAGATTTATTTGGGAATGTGAGTGTCAAAGTCCCCTACGGGTTACTGATAAGTTAATTTTATAGGGACTTGAGCACCCCCAGAATACTAAGTGGATTTCCGCCTATATAGTTTATGATTGGCCAAGCCCGGATTATGATAATTTGGGGCCCGGGGCCAAACAATTTTAGGAGCCCATAACCATAATCAAAATATTGATGACCCACACATAAACATATTTCAGAGACAAAAAAAAATTATATTCTAATTTATAAATTTATTTAATGCTTTTTTTAATACAAAAAATAAAAATTTTATTTATATAAGTAGTAGTATAATTTGGACAGTTCTGACACCATATCCTGCATATCCTCCTTATCTTTCTGAACCACCACTGCCCGATCATGTACGTGCACGACATACGTCACAGACCCCCCACCACCACTACTACAGACGTCACTACATACCCAACCGGCAGTGACGTAGCGTTCCCAGAAATATTGCCGCCGCCGTCTCGGTCACAGCATTTGTCGCCAACGACCCCACTGCTGCAGCGATCGTGTTCGTTTCTACCCCCCCCCCCCTTCCTCCCACCGCACTCATTATATACTATTGGCCGGCCGTGTTTTTGTTAATATCTGATATCAGTTGTGATAATATAAAATGTGATTACAATTAACGGCTAATGTTATCTTACAGGTGATAACACATTTGAAACCATAACGAATATTCGGTTTTTGATAATAACCGATACCAGTTGTGATATCAAGTACCCGTTAATATTATCATACAGATGATAATACATTTGAAAACATATTGTGGTGAACCATCACCACATAATTCTCGCTCGGAGGTGGTAACATTGTTGTCGGGCGGTTGGTCACCATGGTTGTCAACGACGCGAACAACCGCCACGACAGGGCAGCTGTCACCCGTTTTTTTATCCGTCTCGTTTTTCACAGATACACGTGTTTTTTCGACCGACGACTCTTTCGACTCACGCGAGTCCTCTTGCTTCTTATTATATATATGTATAATATTCATACCATGTAAAATATATCGTTTATTATTCGAAACGTGGTGTCTTTATTGTTATTTATTATTTTTTTCATAATATATATATATATATGTGTATATATATTATATCGACGCCATAGCCTTTCATTTGTTAGCGGTGCGCGGATAGCATACCGTCGAACCTTATCAACATGCATCCGTGCGCTCGCCACAATATTATTGATAATATTTAAAATAAATGTAATATCTGGCTAAGAATCGAACTGGAGATGATTAGGATGTTGTATCCACTTAGAATCATACATCTATTAGTAATATGTAATTAATTTAATGTATTTCAGTTCGTACATAAGTCTCTCGATATAATTCAGAATATGTATATCAAATTACGTGTAATTAGCCATATCTCTCTTCGTCAATATTTCCGATAAAAAAAATGTGTTTATTATTCAAAAGAATATGCCATTTTCCTGTGAACAAGATGCAATATGTATATCAAATCACAAGAAATATTATGTCTTTACCTGACAATATTTCTGAGAAAAAACGTCAAGTTCTCACACACGTTATATTTCCGAGAAAAATTTAATATTGTTGATTTTGTAATTATTAAAAAGACCTTCCCCTCTCCACAATAACCGAATCTGAAGTCATCGACTTACTGTTGGGGTCTATATCAATATCAGTCGATACGCTGCCTTCGTAGTGTTAATTTTCAAGTCGGTAGTGTGTTTTTTATTTGCAATGGCCGAATCACTACAGAGTAATGCTGCTAAATTCAAGAAATCAAAGTACATGTACGTTGCACCCATGACACCTAATGAACTAATTGATTCAAGTACGTTTGTAATTGACTTTGTCGGCCGTAAATTCTTAAACATTGGGCTCGATCCGAGCGATAATTTCAAACTTAAAATTCGAATCATAACACCTTCTCGCCATATTTCAATAAGGCATTGCTTTTTAAAACGAATCTACTCTTTTATTGGTAATATTTTATCAATGATATTGGACACACCGGATGGAAATAAAAATCTTTTACTCTTCACGGACGACGTAAATAAATTAACAAAAATTGTTTATCGCGGAGAAAATTATTTGGTAATCGAATCAAAAATTGAAGATAGTTGTCGCGTACTGCTTAATCGTGCGGATCTCATAGCTCTGCAGTACATAGAATGGGCCATTTTTGAAGCTTGTGTTGGAAAAAATACATTTGTTCGTCCTATGATACTCCAACAATTCAAT